CTTTCTCTCATCACTGATGTTTCTCCCTCACTCTTCCCCTCTCTCTCAAATCATAAATTTTTTAATAAAAACATTTTAAAAAGTTTAAAATCCCACTTGGAGGCTCTAGGTCAGTGGTTCTCAACCTTCGGGCCATTGAAATACAGTTCCTCATGTTGTGACCCAACCATAAAATTATTTTCGTTACTGCTTCAAACTGTAATGTTACTGTTATGAATCGTAATGTAAATATCTGATAAGCAGGATGGTCTTAGGCGACCCCTGTGAAAAGGTCGTTCGACCGCCAAAGGGGTCGCGACCCACAGGTTGAGAACCGCTGCTCTAGGTGAACACGAATTTTGGGGGACAGTATTCAGAGGCCGTGGCCACACCCCTCAGTTGTCTGACGTGATGAGAAGAGGGTTTTCAGGAACGGGGTCCCTTCGGTTCCCGTGGCACAAGGTGCCGGATCGGGGGAGATGGGCCAGGTGCAGCCACTGTGGGAAACAGTGAGGAAGATCCTAAAAAAAATGAAAGCTAGACCTGCCATTTGACCCGGCAGTCCCCCTTCTGGGACCACATCCAGAGGAAGTGAAATCAGCATCTCTGAGACCTGCCTGCACCCTCGCTCATCGCAGCGTTCGTTACAACAGCCAAGACGTGGAGGCAGGAGGCAGTGTCCGTGTCCGCGGACCGACCGATGCAGGGATAAAGGAGGCGCATGCGCACCCAGTGCAACACTGTTCAGCCGCAGGAGGAGGGGACCCTGCCGTCTGCACCCACACGGTGAACTCCAGGGACGGCATGCTCGTGATCAGCCAGACACAGAAGGACAGAGACTGTTGGAGCTCCCGTACAGGTGGAGTCTAAAAGCCCAACTCCTGAAACCAAGGTCCAACCGTAGAGAGCAGGGTGGGGGTGGCCCGGAGCTGAGGGTGGGGACATGGAGACACGCTGGTCAGAAGGTACCAACTTCCGGGTATGCGATGAGTGAGCGCTGGGCGTGATGCACACACAGTGGCTGGAGCTTACAATGCTACATCGTAAACTTGAACGTTCTTTCAGAGTGTTCTCACCACACACACTCACACACACACGTAAACACACACACACATGCACGCACGGCAGCGGTGATGGACAGGTGATGGATTTGGACTTGACTGCGGTAATCATGTCACAATGTTAGTGTATTTGAAATCACTATGTTGTGCACCTTTAAAAAACCATATCATACAACCTAACCCCCCCCCCCCCCAAAAAAAAAGTCTGGGAAGCCATTCCTGCAGAGGAGGTTGTGGTTTCTCTCGAAAGGGGATTGGCCGTTGGACCACCTGGCTACAAGCCCATCTGCACGCCCTCTTCCTAGTCCACTCATTTCCAAAACATCCGTCCCTCACTGCCCAGCGCCGTGGAGTGTCCTGGCACTGCCTGCTCTGGGTCCCTCGGGGTCCTCCCTGGGGTCGTGGTGGGTGCAGGGGGACCCCAGGCCACATGTCCTCCTTTCCCCCGAGGACTTGGGGCCCTTCCATCTACATGAAGCTGCGGACTCTGCTCTCTGCCACCCGAACCCCTGGCCTGGGGGAGTTTCGGATTCGTGTCGACCGCCGTGCAAATGCCTAGGACCACGTCCAACCGTGTGGGCGAGGACTCGGGTACGGTTTCTATAAACACGCGTATCGAGACATTCCTTTGGCCTCAGTAAGCGAGCACCTCCCCCGTTATGCTCTCTCCTAAACACGTTCCCTCAGAAATCACCCGGGGGGCTTACTGGTGTAGTCTGAACGCCTGCTTTTCCCTCCGCCCACCCTGCACACGTGGGGGTCCATCCACAGCAAGGCGGGGGGGGGGGCAGGGGGCATGGGGCCAGGCTCTGCCCTGTGACTCCTGGAACCTTCTTGATGTCTCTTTTTCGGCCGACAGACGTGCAGCCCCTTGGGAGCCGCGCCTGGCTCAGAGTAAGCGCTCCTAAACGTTTGCTGAGTGAATAACAAAACTGTGATGTTGCGAATTGAACAGATTGGGCACATTGCGGACGTGCGTGGCTCTCCCAAACCAATCAACCTCCCGTCAACAACAACAACAGCAGTGTTGCTTTCGGCATCGGCTCAGGGAGTCCTCGAGTTTCAGCCCAGATCACAAAACAAGAAATTGGGGATCTGAGTTGCCACTCTGTTGACCTAAAGAATCCAGCGCTGTCAGAGGCAGCCCCCGCCCAGGGCCCCGGGGCTGTGTGGCGGCCCCTCAGCTGTCCGAGGGCCTGCTGGCCGTCTGGAGTTTCAGTGGGAGTCCCTCTGCCTTCCACCCGCGCTACACTTTGTGGAGCCCAAAGCTTATCAGCAAGAGGGAGGGTGCTGAGGCTGGGTTGGAGCGCTGCCCTGTGCACCAAAAGGTCGCGGGTTCAATTCCTGGTCAGGGCACACGTCCAGGTTTGGGGTTCAGATCAGGGTACAGGAGGCAACTGATTGATGTTTCCGCATTGATGTTATTCTCTCTCTAAAACAAAAACTTTTTTTAAAAAGAAAAAGAATACCAAGTTAGATATGACAACGGATATTTATTTAGAATGGGAAAAGTCATCACAGCAGATCACGGATTTTAAAAAGCGGACCGATACCACAACTAATACAAGATACAAGACATTGTAATATTTTTTCTACCTTTCTTGGCCGCACACTCCTCGACTGCCTTTTCACATGTCGACGGGTTGGAATATTTTCCAGAGAGCAAGCTGAAAGGCGATTCGGCCTTTTCATCATGGCGGGCCGCAGTGTGTTTAGCATCACGACTGGTTTCACAGTGTTTCTCACCTTGCCCGCCTGTCTTGGTAACGTCTCAGGATCGTTCCAAACCCGGGAAGGCCTCGCTCAAGGTTTCTCATAATGAACGGTGAGACTGCAGGGCACCTCGGGGTGTCCTGTGGATGCTTCACCTGAAGTGGACTCTGAGTTGACCCCACCCTTGACTCTGTTGTTGCCGGTGCTCTGGCTGTCGTGGGAAGCTATGTGCATGGCTGTTGTCGAATCAGCACACGATTGAAATTCTTCCCCTGTGTGCATACGGTGCACTCCTGTTCGTTTACTTCATTATGAAAAACCCAAGAGCCTATTGATGCCTTCTATTCCCAAATGGCTTCTTCCTCTTAATGAGCTACTTCTTAATTTTTTTTATTTTTTAACTAGAGGCCCGGTGCATGAAATTTGTGCAGTGTGTGTGTGTGTGTGTGTGTGTCCCTCAGCCCAGCCTGTACCCTCTCCAATCTGGGACCCCTCAAGGGATGTCCAGGGGGATTGGGCCTAA